ACTTAAAGAAGAGCCACATTTCTGTGGGAACATGGAAGGGACCGGAGATGTAGCAAGCTCGACATCACTGAAATTCCCATCCAGTTCCGCCATGGGACCAATGCCCAGCTCAGCACTGTAGCTGGGTGAGCAGAGCATGACCCAGCTGTAGGTCTCAGCCACGGCGCCTCCACTGCAGCAAGGTCCCTGGAGCAGAAGGGAGCAAGATGCTATAGTGAAATGATGGCTTCCCATTGCTTCCCCTTCTAGGCATCTAAAACTTGTTTTGGATTTCACTCTCATTCCCCTGTTGATTTTTCCACGCCCAAGAGAACAAGATACAGACAAAATTTGTCCCCTTCTTGATCTCTCAACATCCTCTCTTCTTCTAGCACAAAAATGACCCCAGGCTGTGATAACCTTTCTCTGAGTTGAGTGTCTCTGTACATTCGCCCTCCAGGTGTGCGAGAGCTGTTAGCTTGAAGTTCTCTCCAAGATGCTGTTACTGCTGCTGCTGCAGATCTCAGGGAGCTGCCTCTGGCTGGGACGCTGTGAGGTGGTAACATCATTTGAAAGTTCATGCCCTCAGTTTTTCTTCAAGGAAACCCCCCCGAATGAAGCCCTGGAACCAAACAGTCCAGCCCGAATTTGCCAACGTTACCAAAACCAGTATTACTTTGCTACCCTGTATGACAAGGACAGGCGTATTCCCGTATACTCTGCTTACCTGTACCAGCCTGGACCTGGCAAGAGACCTAAAACTTGGATGGTTGAGCCGCAGGTGAGCATCTTCTTTTACCACACATCTCCCTCCAGTCATTAAAAGCTGAACTGCAGCATATAGCCAAATACTGCCCTTTCTCCCTCTGCACATGAAAATGGATCCACGGGATGGGATTCATCTCATCTAACTTCAGGCACCCTGAACACATGGTTTCTTTGATTCATATGAGCCATGGAGGATGGCCATGGAGGATGAGATGAATCGTCCTAGAAGTGCCCATTCCTCGACTCTCTCGGATGGAGGTGTTTATGTTTGTATTTCTCCATTTACTGAAATAATCCCCCTTCTGGTCCCATGGTGCAGTAGAGAGACCAAATCATGGGAAAAAGATGGCCAGCTGGAGCTCAGCTTTGGGGACCAGCTGCGCTCTGGTCCGCAGTTTGACCTGAGCGTCTGTGCAGTCATGTCACAGCTTGTTTGCTCTCGGTTAAGAGTTAATTTGGAGTTGTAAGCGCTGGGAGAGAAGTGCATAGAAACTCAGAATTGGATGAGGTGACCTAGTGAAAGAGTCCAGTCACAGGCACGCAGCAGTAAGTGGGTTAGGTTACAAATGGGTAAATTTACTTGATGAAGATGAAATTCAGGTCATTGCTAGGTCTAGAGAACTTAGCACTAGAGAACTTGGGCAAAAGTGACCCGCAGAAGAAGGCCATGGCCCCTGATCCAGGGGAAGGCCAAATATATGTCCCTAAATATGAAAAGAAAGGTGCTGCAGTTACAAAAAAGCATTTGCATTCTTTACTCTCATAGGAAATCAAGCAATAATTAACTCAGTATTGTACTAGTGTAGTCTCCACGTTTAGAAGGCATGATCCCATGCTGAGCAGATGTGGGATGTGGAGATGGGTGGAAAAGAAACCAGACGTGTGAGGGGAGACAGCTTGCTGAAGTCACCTTTCTCTGCAAACTTGGGAAAATGGAAAATGCTCATTGTCTCATGTGTCCTCTCACACCTCCACAGCAGGCTGCAGGGTGGATTTCAAAGGTCACAAGTCAAATCAAAAGCAGTTACATTCTGAACTTTGTTTTGTTCTAGTTTCCTGCATTTGTGGGGGAGGGTCAGCATTATGATCATGATTATGAGTCGATGATGAGTTTTCATACATGGAGATGGTAAAATTTGAGTGCCAGCTACTCTTCTAGGTGCTCTGAGACTTCTGCTGCGGGGAAACCTGCCCTATTACCCCCATCCTCAACACTAAACCCGTTGTTCTTTTTTACCTTTCAAGCTGATTGGTTCGGTTTATCCCAGCACAATGGAAAGAGAGTGGACCCTCTTAAAGTATTTCAACGTCACCTCAGAGCAACTCAGCATGAACCAGGCTGTCCTCAAAGATTACAAGAACCTGACAGGTTTGAATCGTGGCCATTTGAACCCTAGTGGCCATCACCCCGACAACAGAAGCAGGACAGCTACCTTCACCCTCACCAACATAGTTCCCCAGAATGAAAAACTCAACAGCGGGGCCTGGAAAAACTACGAGCAGCAAACTATGATCAAGGAGACACAGGGCTGTGATACCACCTACGTCATTGTGGGTGCCGTGCCTGGGAACAACTATATTGCCAATGGGCGGGTTAATAAACCCAGCCACCTCTGGTCCGGTGTCTGCTGTGAGCTAGACAACAATAAGAGGAAGGCCTGGGCTGTCATTGCAGAGAACGACAGGGACAACATCCAGCTCATCACGCTAGGAGAGCTGGAGGAAACACTGATCAAGCTCTACGGGAGGGACCAGGTTTCTCTGTTTGACAGAGACTGTCCCCGAGAATAAACCCCACTTCACATCCCTGGCTACAAAAGGCTTGGAAACCTTTGCCGCTAGCAACCCCGCCACATGCACTGTGCACCGGCTGTCTTGCTTTCTTCGTCAGCAGCTTTCCTGGCTCTATCTCTTGGAGCATCTTCTCCTCTGTTAAAAGGGAGAAAGAAGTCAGCAGAGGCGCCAGCCTTTTTCTTCCTTTCCCTGTTGCCAGCCCTCGCAGGGAGCTTTTCTGAGAGGTTTCCAGGAGGAGTCCCTAGCTGGGCCGCTCCAGAGGAGTGGTCTGAATAGCAGCTTATAGGCAAGGAAATCAGAGCTTGTCACTAATAAAGCTAGAGAGGCTTTACCTTTTTTACTTTTCTTCTCTGCCTATATACAGATTGTAATTCCTTCCTCCCCTCATTCGACATCACTGATGGTTTGTTGCTGACTTACCACCTCAAAAAGAGTGTGGGACTTCATTCTGGGAAAAGGAAGCCAAAGAGCCAGAGGACAGCTGATAAGTATAAGGATTATCCTAGAAATACATTCTATAAAGGCAGGTGTAGTCAATGACAACAGAAAAGGAGAAAGGGAGAGAGAAAGAGACGGAAAGAAGGAGGGGAACGAAGCACACAAAAAGTATCCCAGCTATCTGTAGATAGGTAAAACAAGGAGAAAGAAGGAAATAACCTAGATCTAATTGCTAGGCTCCCTACCCCTGAGCTTACATGAATCACAGAATCACAGACTCGTTTAGGTTGGAAGGGACCTCTGGAGATCATCTAGTCCAACCTCCCTGCTCAAGCAGGGACCTCTAGAGCGTAAGACTGTGCTTATGTAAATTTATTAGCAGGTTTTTGTTTGCTTGCTTTTGGACCACGCAGCTTGAGAAGTATCAGACAACCAGATGCAGGGATGAGATATATAGCAGACTTTGACCAATAAAAGAAAAATTGCTATGATACATTGGTTGGATAATTTCATTTTCTGTTCTGCTTCTGAACCTTCTCTGCAGATTTATGTAAAATTGTGTATAATATATTCAATGGGTATAAAAGGTCAATATCCACCATATAATTTACCCCCAATTTGTTCCACTGCTGGATCTTAGGGTCACCTTGTGAACAATACACAAGTTGCTGCCCACTGAAATGCCCACTCCTAGCAATATACTAGTAGCTACAGCATCCCTGCAGGAGGTAGGCTGTTCAAATCCAGTCTGAAGAGCCTTATGTGTAGGTGTCTCCCTGTGTGCTGGGGGTCTGAGCTCTCTCTGCAGTTAGCAGAGATCCGGGCTCAGACTGGTTGCATAGATAGAGGTATCTTGAGCCATTTGAGATGCCTTGAGATATGCAAGACATCCAGTGGGGCTGATGGATATGTCACAGGATCCGTGGGACACCTGCATCCATCCAGACCAGCAGCTAGAGGCCACGTAAGGTCCCTGAGGGCATCTCAAGTGGTTCTAGACACCTGAGTGCAGGCAACTGGGTCCCACTGCAGGTCTCTGTACAGTGCCCAATATCATAGACTGTTCCTGGTGTCTCCAGATGCTGTGGAGGTAGTGACAATAATACTGTCTTTTGCCAGCTCTGTTGCTCACAGAGGTAGGAGAATAGTCATGCTAGCAGTGTCTAAGCTGTGTTTTAAGAGGACAAGTAAAAGGCAAAACTCACATCCCTCACTTTCTTGGATAGCTACCTTGTGTCTGAGGTCCTATGCCCCCAACTGATTTTTGCTCCTCATTTCAAACACTGCCAGGAATTACTAAACTGGTGAAACTGGTGCTATTTCAGGTCGAGGGCCCCAGCATGACCTCAGCAGGCACCTCTCAAGTTACTCATGGGGCCCTCTTCTTTCTGACTTGTTCAACCCACCACCTCACACCTGCTGGGACTCAAAACCACACTTGTCCTTGTGGCTGCCTGTCCCATCCTCTGAAGAAAGCTGCCACCCCCACTTTCCCAGTCGCGCTGGAATTTCCCTGGCTCTCCCCACTGACCACCCTCATGAGTCACCCCTCCACCAGCTCCCAGGGCCTCTCCCCATGACCCAGTCACCTGGCAGTACCCAGAAATGCACTCCCCTCCTCGGAAAAAAAAAATGACATGAAATACATGGGAAGCCAAAGGAATAAATGAATCAGCTTGGCAGTTGTGTCCCAGCAGATGTCAGGAACACCTCACTCAGTACCCAGGCTTGGAGCTGAGCAGTAGGCTACTCTGGCTCCAGGCTCCCCAGGTGCAGGAACAGCCTCCAGGCAGCTTTAATTGTGATTTCCTCTGGTTTCTGCCAATGCTGGCTATGAACGTAGAAGAACCCTATCTCCCTATTAGCCTCCCCGACTGTGCCCCAGGAATAAAGATACAGCCCTTTGGTGAGCCCAGAGCTGATGCAGCGAGTCGTGTGCATTACCTGCAGTAGGGTAGGAATCTCCTCCATCTGCTGGGAACCTACAGCTGCGCTGCAATGGGAAGGTAACTTCACAGTTTGCTCTGCTCTGTGTTTGTCTGTCTGTGGGGAGAGCTCTGGGCATTAGTGGGCTGCTGGGATTTTAGAGGTGAAGGAAAAGCGGCTTTGGAAGGAGCTGGGAGAGCTAAACCCCACTGGCCCAGTTGTTCATTACTTCACCTGCTGGGGTGATTTGAAGAGCGATCCCTGGCAGCTTCGCTCATAGAGAGACACTGCCCATACATTTTAGGATGGACATTACCCATCCTAAAAAATATCTCCAGCTACTCTTATTCCTGTGCAGCCTGGATATATGCTTGGCATATTGTATGTCTCCAAGAAACACCTCTGGCTAAAGGAGAACCAAGTGGTCCTTCCCAGACCACCCCTGCATGTACGTGTATGTCCAAGTGAGCAGAAGACAGGGCTGGTAACCAGCACTCAGCTGCAGGGGCAGCTTCCCTCCAAAGTAATTACTAGTATGGGTTACTATTCCTAGCTTTGCCACAGACTTCCTGTGTGATCTAGACTGAACCATTTAATCTCTGTGTGGGGATGTCTAGGTTGCTCTCGAGACAGAGTGTGGGATACCGGAAGGAGTCTAGCCACAGCAGCATGGAGGGCAGGCTTTTTTGTCCTACCTACACTCTGAGAAATGGGGCAAATTCACGGATGAAGGGCTCAAGGTTGCTGCAGCTCAGCTGCTTCTGTTGCCTGCGCTGATATGCCGAGAGCCAGATGGGCTCTCGCTGCAGTAAACATATCGTGTATCTCAATCCCTTTCCTTCCCATGTTACATAAGATTAATGATGTCTTCCTTCCTCATGGGGCTCATGTGAGAGGTTCAGCCAGGCCTGTGAAGGGCTCAGGTGCTGCTTTCCTGGTAGTTCTCCATTGCTGGTGACTTGTGAGTTTGGTGAAGAAGGCATAAGTTATGTTTCTGGCCCTACGCAGCCCTGGGTGGAGCTGAGTTCTCCCTGTCAAGGAACCACCCAAAAAGTTGTTTTTAGCACACTGCAGTGTGGTGGAGGATGTTTTCTTTCAGCCCTTTTGGAGTAGGAAACAAGGAGGTGTCAAGGCAGGGCAGGAGAGGTTTTCCTGTGGTCTCAGCACAGCTGTAATCAGGGTCAATGGGCATCTCCAAAGCAAGGAGATACAGGCTCCTGTCTATCCTCACATGGCCCCCAGGAGCAGGGATTGAAAGATCCGTAGGGCTTTGCACCGGGTCAGGAGGAAATGGGGAGATGTCGCTCCCTTTGCTCAAATGTGACATCTTTTTCTCCTATCCTCTTCTGCTCTTCATTTTAGTTGAGAATCTGTTTGTTTATTTTGTTTATTTATTCTGTCGAGGCATTTTAATGAATAATCCTGCTCCAGCAGTGTTTCAAATGTTGGCAAAGTCATTATTTCTCTTCTGGTCGTTGGACTCTTCTCCCCATTATCATCTCCAGCCAGAGGCTTTGCTCTGAGCTTTACTCCGCAATGCATTTCTGTTCTCCTTCAAAGCTGAAATTGCACCCACCTGTAACAGAGCAACAGAATAGCAGTGAGAGGAAATCTTAGGCAGATGGAGCTGGGCTGTTAACAGTTGGTAATAGCTTTCCAAGACGTTGTGGCAGGGCAGCAGGTACGGCCGGTGCACAGCCCATTGGTGCTGCTGAGGCCTGATTCACTGAGGGCTCACGTCACGGCATGGCTTGTAGCACTAGTTGCGTTCTTTCTTGCATTTATTTATGGATGACAAAGCACTAATTAGGGGCAGAGCTGCTGGCTGGTGGGCTCAGCTGCCCCTAGGGTTCATGGATTCATAGAAATAGGGCTGGAAGGACTCTAAGAGGGTTACCTTGTCCATGTGTCAGCTTTGCTCTACTCAAACCATTCAGATACGACCTGTTGCCATGAGCTTTCAGGACTCCCAGTTCTTTAAACAGCTTTGTCCAGAGATGTTTAGAGTGGCACCGGTTTCATCACTGGTAAGCCATTGAGATCTACGATCTTGAAATTAGAAGAGAAATAAAGGAACAAGGATATGTGCAAGTGGTATCTGAGGGCACTGGCCTGCTTGAGACTCTTCTGAAGCACACACATGGCACGTGTCCTGGGGATTTTCATTTTATGCTCCAAAATCTGCAAGGAGCAACCGTACTCCATTGTGGGGGACTGGGCAGTGCCAGGAGAGAGGGATGCAGGTGGTGGGATTCAGCTATGGAGATCTCTTGGTTCTCTGAACAGTTAAGCCAGTAGACAATCTGAAATGAACCATGGAAAATGGTGAGGATCATGAGAGACTGGTGAGGATCATGAGGTGGCCTGGTGAGGATCATGAGAGACGGTTTCCTCATGCTCCAGCACCAACACAGGTCAGCTCTGGAGATGGTATCCTTGACAGAACTGTCTTCAGGCTTGGTGATTTCATCTGCACCCCTTCCTAAGTGATTTATTCCAGTGTTTCATTATCCCATCAACATGATTTTTTCTAAAGTTTCCATTGCCACACTTTAAATCCCTAATGGTTACCAACAGCTTATAGGAAAAGAGAAGCCATGTTCTGAGCTCATTTTCCTGCAAAGGCCTGGATGGTACAGTTTGTTTAGTGCTTTTCCAAAATCACTGGTGGTTCAAACTCTTTGAGCTGAACAACCTATTATCACATACTTCTCTCAAAAGAGGGTGCAGGAGGACCAAGGGAGTGGCTCTGCTTGTCTGTGCTCTGCTTGAGAAAGCAACCAGGCAAATCTCCCTCGCTATGTCCAGATTTTGAGCAGCTATAACATTTCCTAACAGTTATTGCAATATGTTTATTTGTAAAGCTCTCCATGAGTGTCTCTGCCTGCCACATGGAGAAAGAAGAGTGGGAATCTCTTGCCAGGGACCTCGTCATCTCCTGGGCAGCAGTCTGCTGGGTCAGATGAGCTGATGCTATGGGTTTGTGCCACCCTTTCTGTGTGGGCAGCAAAGCAATCCTGATTGCCACATTCTGGCCGGACAGAGACATTTCAAGGCCTCAACTCACAGACGAGCTCAAAGCCTCTCCCAGTGTGTGGCCCAGGGGCCGGCATGCTCACCTGCTGCAGAAGAGCCCAATTCCTCTTCTGCTAACAAAGCTGAACACAATTTTTCTTCCACTTTATTATTACTTGATCTAAGCGGGACAGAGCTATGAGCCAGGATCACCGTGTGAGGTGCTCTATAAGCACAGAACAAGGTCAGACCCACCAGGAGAAAGCAATTGCTGAAGGAGGCATGAGACAAAAGCTGGATGCAAACAGGGAAGGGGACGAGGATTAAGCTGGTTGGCATGCTGGGCAGCCTTGAAGCAAAGTGGACTGTGCTGTGTCAGGTTTGTCCTGCACCATGCAGTGAGCACTTCACCGTGGGCTCACAGGAGGTCCCACTGGGAATTTCCAGTCTTCAGTTAAATGTGGATCTTCAGAAAGGGAAAATGTGGTCTGCATCTAATACAGTTTCTGCTTTATACTGCTGAGAGTTGTTAGAAGAGAAGAATGCTTGGTTTATTAAAAAACAAACAACATCTATATTTTCACATGTTATGCAGTGTTGCAAGGTCACCAGAGAAGCTGGAAAGCTTCAAGTCTTGAAAAGCAATTCTCCCTTTTGACTGTTCAACCAAGCGTAGGAAATAAACTGTTTCGCAATTAAAAGTAAGATCAATTGGGTGTGGATCTTTGCGTTTCTTTAGCATTGTCTCCTATCTTTAGCACATTTTCTGGAGATCAAAAAGGCCTAAAACAGGGTGGGCAGCTCCTAGAGCAATAGCCAGTGGCCATGAACAGAAGGGCCCTGAATGTAAGGACTAAAAGCTTGAGATAGCAGGAAAGAAAAGTCAGTGGAGAGCTTGTAAAAGGGAAGTGACACAATCAAAATGATTGGGTCGTTGAATACATTTACATGAAAGTGGTCAAATAGTCGTAGCTAGGATCAAAGAGAAAAACTTCTGCCTGCTAGACTAGGTATAAACTGGGCTTGGAGTAAAGCTGTAGCAGGAAGGAAAAGGGACATCTCAGAGTTGTGAAGAAATCAGTAACAGCTTAAACTGGGGAAGAGAAAGGAGGGAAAAACGTGCTGAGTTAACACTGCATGTGCTGCAGGGTGTTTCGCTGTGTCTATAGGATTTCATATAACGCTGAGGATATTTGCTGGGAATGCTTTTTTTCACATGCCTCAATGATAGCAATGGGTCTGTTTTTTTCAGATAGGTCTCCTGCTGCGAGCTAACATTTGCTCTCCAAGTGTAACGTTGGCTTCTGTAAAGTATTTACAATGTGAATTTGTGCTATGTTTCTGACAAATTGCACAACAGCAACTCGTTCAGCAGTTCTGTTACCTGAATCTAATCTCTTCCTGAATAACCTACTCACATTATCTTAGTTTGGTGAATTGAAGACTTGTATTTAAGAAATTACTGCGTGCATAAATAGCTCATACGTAATTTACTTCTGAGGCTTTGAGATCTCATTCTGAATGTACGTAGCACTGGACTGGGACTGAGACTGGTTTACATCGTCTCAATGCTACTTTTTCCAGTCCATAAAATGGAGGTAGTGTGCTGTCAGTCACGGAGCACTTCAGTCTGCTCTGTGACTTACAGCTAAAAGGGATAGTATAGAAAATTTCAGTTTTATTATTTTGCTCTTGCACTGCCCTAATTCAGAGCTTTATTGAGGACTGAGGGAGTTTCAGCAGCATAAAACCCATAAAAATTAGAGGAGAGGTAAGCCTTTAGTTTTAAGCAGAGTGAGCTGGAAAACAGGGCTACTTGTGCACAGGAAATTTTGTCATTTCAAAATGTGGTTTCGCTCTGAATCAGAACAAAACCCCAAAAGTTTCCAAATTCCCCTTGAAATGGAAATTCTGAGAATTTTGGTTTGGAAATGCTGAAGCAGGACGTTTCTGATATGCAGCTCCTGCCCCAGGCCCGCCAAGTTCTTGTCAGGCGGCCCTGCCGCCATCGGCTTCCCTGAGCCGGTGGGAGGCTTCTTGGGGACATCTGTGACGCCGTCTCTCCGGGAGCCGCTCCGAGGACCGCAGAGCCCTGAGCATTGCTGCAGGTGGAGACCCAGTTTCGTTTCTTGCAATAGGCTGCTCCGTCATCCCTCCTCCCGGAGTGACTTACCCACAGTTGGGAGCACAGCTCTGGAGCCTGGCCATCGAAAGGGTCGTATTTTGTGTGTGTATGAATGCGCAGCTTGAAAAGCAAAATCTGATTAGGGAACGTCTTCCCCGACTTCCTTCTACACAAAGACTAGTGGAGAAAATAATTGGAGAACTATTAAAAATAGGATGGTGGAAATGACTGTGGCTGCTCGCGCTTCCTGGAGCCCTTAAGTCTTTGCTCACAGGCCTTCATATTCCCCAGGTGAGCAGACCTTAGCCCCGCCAGGCCCTGTGATTCCTATAGAAAAAGGGGGAAAAAAAATCTAGAAAATGGGTAGATAGCTGAAATGTTAAGACTGTGACCGTTAAGCAGAGCTGTACTGGCCCCTTGCACTCTTTTCTCAGCCTTATATCTACACTGTAAGTTGTCTAAGACAGAGGCCATTTTTGGCCATTGAACAGTAACTGTGCATGAGGTCCCCATCTACAACTGTTTCTCATTTGTCGCTGCAACCAAAAATAGGTTTTAATTTAAATTTAAGGAATTGTTTCTTCTTACAGTGGTAGGAAATAGCTTTATCTGCTGTCTTCAGTGATGCATTTGCAGAGGTGAGTCATAGACTGTGCAAAACTTGATGATCTCCGGGGCTGGGATTTGGCTTGCTGCTTAGGACATCTTACAGAAGGCATCTACATATGGGAGCTAATACTGCAGGATGGACGAAAGTGTGCTACGTCACTTGACTTCCAGCTATCAGTGCAGAGGACAGGCCTCTTTCAGGAGCTCTGTTGGCCTTGGACTGTAACATCTATTGTTTCCTATTATGTACATTGGAGACATTGTTGCCAGAGTTCCTCTTGCCCAAATATTTTTAGTTTCCTCCGGTACTTCGAAGGTTAATTGTGATTTTTGAATGTGTGATGTGAGCTTTAGCACAGGCCTCTAAAATAGACCTTCCTGCAACACATTCTTGAGTTTTTCATCCCTTTCATTAAAATGAGAGGGTAATGGAGAATAAATCTTCCATTTTCTGAAGTATGGATCAATAACAAGAAGGACAAGCTGTCTTCCAAACACCCAGAACTATTTATTATGATAGTTTCTTAGTCATTCCATACCGAGAAAATCAAAGTTTGCAAAATAAAGACACCGAACACTACACCTTATGTAAAACCAGGGAGCGCGGCCAAGGAGGCAGCACAGCAGTGACCGTGGAGTGACCACGACCTCTCCCAAAGTGGGGTTTTGCTCCTAGACAGGGTCCTAGTGATTTCAATGCACTCTCTGTGCAACATGTTGAAAGATCAGCCCTCACATACAGTCCTTTCCCCAAAGGGCCAACAAGCCCTGCTGAGAGGTAAAGCACAGCTTAACTGAGAGTTACAGCTTCCTAATAGAGTGTGTCTACAGCTCCTGGGCTGCTGGTATCCTGGGTTCAAACTCTCTATGTAGACTTTAATAGCTTGGAAAATTAAACCCCATAATAGCTCCCCACAATACCTCTTGCAAGCCCACCATGGCTTGCAAGTCCCTTTACCAGCAGCATATCTTCCTTAATAGAAGGAATTCCAAGAAACAAAGGCAAAATGTGGAGAGAGAGCTCGTGAGCCAACCCAGCTAGGGAAAGGAGGATACAACACTGAAGCAGTGGGAGACATACAACTCTGCCTTGGTTATCTGGATAACTCTGGATAAAAATGTGCACGCTAGAAGCAGGTGAAGTATTTGCCTTCTCTAGTGAAATGCCCCGAGCAGGACAAGCCATGTCGGGCTAACCACAGTGCTTAATGGAGGTACGTTAGCAATAAGTAACACACATCGAACAGTCAAAGCAGAAGAGCTTAGTGCCGCTGCGTATAGGTTTCAGAGCAGCTGACAGGTGTGAAAACTTATCTATTCCATAAATACAGAAGACAACCATAAATACAGATTGTCTTCTGTTCCTATACAAAATAACAGCGTATAATAGACCATTACACATCCATCGCTATAAAGATATGTATTACAAATTAGTCCTATTCCAAGAGGAATAAAGAAGCCATGGAACGTATAAATATCGAGGCTATGGAGTAAGAATAACTCAACAGGAATACAAACCAGTAAAAACTAATGGTACACACACACACACTCTATCACAAAATAGAAAACTATACTAACAACTCATGCCGCCTGAGTTATAAGGAAAGGATTCATCCCATCTGGCTTTAGATATATGCCATGTAAGCATCTTATAGCTAATTTGGTCAATCTGGGAACCATTTAGAGTCGGAGGAGAGGGAGAGAAATAGGTACCTTTAGACCATGAGTCACTGGGCCTACATATATATACACACACACATATATATACACACACACATATGTACATATGTACATATTTATATATGTACATATATATATATGCACATATATATATGTACACACACACACATATATGTACATATATATAAAAATATACGTACATATAAACACAGAGATAAATATATACGTATACATATATATATATATATATATATAGGGTGAGATGAACTGCTCTCTGAAGGGACTTATTTCTTCCCATTGTCTGCCTCTGATTAGATGTCTGCATTTTGTCAGATGATCCCATCCTACCTGCTGGACCCGGCTAGAGATGCAGGTACCTACTCAAAGTTCATAACTTCCAGGAATATAGGTACATATCAAATATTGTGCATATTGAAGTCATGCTTAACTCTGTTCTTAAACACCCTTGTGCTACGCTCTTCGGTGCTCTGCAGCTCTGAAAGGAGCTTTCAAACTGATCAGCTGTCACAGCCTTCCTTATGCTAGATGCAGTAACTCTGCTGTGGAAGGGGATAGTTCAAAATATTTTGGGGGGGGGGGCGGGGTGAAGACTGATGTGTCTGTATACTGAACCATGAGGGAGCCTATAAAGATTTTCAGCTTATGTGCAGATGGTAAATGGGCTTAATCTCCTTTTCCAAGAGAAACAGCATGAAGAGGAGAAAAGTGTGGCTGGATTTGACCTGTAGAGATAGAGAAGGGATGAAGGAAACCAGTATCCAGCTTCTCTTGCCATGGGGAAGGTGGCGCATGGGCTAAGACTTGTAGCGATGGTGACAGTGTCTAAGGAGGGTGGGCTTGCATGTGCCTGGGAGAGTGGTGCATATGTACGCCTGGTAGCTTCGGAGAGGTTGCAGTTATATTAGCAACACATCTGCTATAAGACAGGAGGCACATAAGTGTTTCTGGGAAGCTGGGGTCTTTCCTTGTCTGTCAATGACTGTGTGCACACCCTCTACTCATACTCTGTAGGTGGAAAGTTATTCTTCCCCCATTAGCGTGAGGCTGGAATATTTTCTGCCTCCTTCACATAATCGATTTGAGCCTCTGGGCTTCCTCCTTGTTTGCTGCTGCTGGTCTTGGAGCTGCTGGTTCAATCTGGTTTCTCTTGATACTTGATTCACTGGTGATCCCCGCCTTACCTGTGGCAAGGCATTGATTTCACAAGCTTAGATCTCAACGCAGAAATTCACTGAAAGGTCTTTACTGCAGAAAAGAAAAGACAGATTTTCTATGAGTTTTTCTGCATTTACTGTGAGAGAACTCACAGCGCTTTCCGCAGAAGACGTCACTTAGGGTCTGTTACATTAAGGCTGAAAGGGACCTCTGGAATCAGCTGTTTCGTCACTTGTTCCACCTGAGGGTCAGTGAAATATTGATCATCCCTGACAACTTTTGGTTTGTCATATTCTCAGAAATTCCACAACGGCCCAGGCAATCTGCACCATGACTGACCATCACTAAAATGTGTTTCAAAGTGGCATCTACGCTTTCTACCACTTTACCCTATTGAGAAGTGGCAAAACGCCTTGCTGTCGTGGTTCCACAAAGTCCTTCCCTCCTCCTTTTTTGACGAAAATCCCCATTTAGTGGAGAAGCAGAGCCTATTGGTAATTAGTAAGAGAACTTGAAGAGAAATGGGTGAGGATTAGCAAAGAGAGAGGAGGAAAGAACAACAACGACGCCGTGAGAAATAGGGACATCTCGAATTAAGTAGGTTGTGAAGTCTGTGAACAGGAACGGTCGTGGAGCATCTCAGTGTAGTAGCAGAAAAGAGTCCAGACTAAAATAAGTCCGAAGCAGAAAGCAGTCATGACATGACTGAGAAATCCGGAGGATGAAGGAAGAACAATTATGTGGTTGTGGTGGCAGATGCTCCACCAGACTTCCCACAGATTAGCCAGAAAGAAAAAGATTGGTTGTGTAACCTATCTGAAACCAACATATTTGCATAATTAACCTTAACTTCCTCACTGGATTCATTTTCCACCCATTATTTGAACTGCCTTTCTCAGTTCCACAATGGCAGGGACAAAGCATTTTTACGGGTGCTTTTCAATTTCAAAAGCTCCAATTCCTCCTTTTCTTATGCCAGCATTTGGTAGCTGAATCAAACAAGCCAAAATCTAGGAATATTCATTTAATATCAAAGAAGGTAGTAAGAAATCCAGGCAGTGCAATACTGAAATGCCTGATCCAGTTGCTAGCTTGGGATTTTGTTTAAATTTAACATTTTCCTGGTTCCTTCCCGCTTACCGTATTCTCTGTTTGGTGAGTCACACAAAGATGGCAGGAATGATAAGCAGAACAGAAAAGATAGCTGTTAAAACACAAAATCAGCACAGTTAGCATCTGGCATTATCTGTAACGCTCCATAGGAATTACGGCAGTTACCCCAACTGGGAAAAACAGAGGTGAGGACAGGGGAAAGAGCGCACCTTGCCCCTACACCAAGAGGTAATCGCTCTTCCATAATGCCCCATTGCTGTGCTCCTTGGGGCAACCAGGACATAGCCAGAAAAGATCAGGGCTCTGGGCAATTAGAGAGCAAGCACGGCCAAATGGTCAGGAGCGGCATCTGGCAGATCTTGCAATACTCCTGCCCCTCCTTTATTTCGCTCCGTTATTCCTGCATATTATAATGTGCGCTACAAATGTGACCTGGCTCCAGCTGGAATCAAGAGCCCTTGTACGAAATCTTGAACATACGCAGAGCAAGAGACAATTTCTATTTTAGCCGCTAAAGGTTGAATTGAAGATGGGGAAGGGGGAGAAGAAAATCATCTCAGATTGATCTAAATGCATCAGTTTATCTGTGAGGAAATATTTTATTTGCTCATCCTCTTCAACTCGTTTGAAAAGGTGAAAGAAACACATCACTTACTTAAATTTTTACATTTCACCCTTTTTTTCCAGTTGATATTATTCACTGAACTCGCAGAAAATTTCAGAGAGAGTTTAAGCGTTTAAATAGTCTCTGTTTACACTTTCTCCACTGACTTTTCACCCAATATGTCAACATAGATGTGTCTTGCAGTATATTTATTAGCTTTTATAACAGAGCTGGATCTCTTCAGTAGCACGGCACACTGAAGGACAAAGTAACTGATCTGAGGGAGGGGGTGAAGCCTGAGTCCAATTAACAAAGTGGTATACCTGTCACGGGTAGTATCATAGATGAGGAAAAGGATGGATGAATTGTACCTACAAAGAGAGAGAAATTCATGATTTTGTATCGATTTACTCCTTCTGGCAGAAGAGCTTGCTCATTTTAGAATCAAAGCAGGGATGAGGGTAGAGCCAGGCTGGGTCTGAGAGGTCTCTCTCTGCACGGCAGTCTTAGTGACGGCCACGTTTGTCTCTTGGCCATCAATAGACATTTCCAGCCTGGATACAAACGTATCTGCTGATCTGAAATCTGCTAATGGTGGACATCAAGTGAACTATATCTTCCAGGGAATGGGATTGAGCTAGGATCTTTATTATGCATGAGACTGGGGAGGGAAGAATGATTTTCAAGGGCCAGGCTAGGGTTTGGAAATACGGCTTCAAACTGATCTCTTTCCCCAGAAATGCAAACTAAAACTTTCACAGTGCAAGAAATTCACTGAATTTCTCCCTCAACCTGAAAAGGAAGCTCTGCGCTTGAGCCAATATAAAATATCGGCAGGTCTTAACAAAAGGTCCCATAGGAATGGTGTCTTGATAAATCCTTTTGTGCTGGATGCTCACGGCGGGACTGAGAAATGGGAGAATCCGTTCCTTATCTAAATGCTTATCTTTATCCTCATTAAAGACCTCACATTGTAATGAAGGTGAAGGCAACACTTTGATGGAATAAACTCTTGATGCGCTAATTACAAAGAACGAGTTTGCTCAGGTTTGAGTGTGTTTTTGCAGGAGACTGGAATTATTCTTCTTCAGAATTCAAAGTCAAAAATGGCTTATTTCATCATCCATTCTCGTTTGTTTTTCATAATTTTAATTTTAAAATGTCAGCTATTTATAATCTCTTACTGCTTAGTAGGTCGCATCCTGATAGTACTTACTGGAATTAGCAATGGCAAGAAATGACTGTCCTGAAGGAGGAAAAAAGACCAAACAACAAATTGTGATTTCCGTACCTGAAACACTCTGAACCGGAAACCACAGAGAAACAGATGGATCTACAAAGAAGGGGATAAATTATCAGGTTAATGCTGATTTAATGTGCTCTGTGAGAAAGGTGATTCATTTCTACAGTCAGAACGGCAACTAGAGGCAAAGACGGCCAAGTGGTACCTGCAGGCAAACGGGCCTGCTCAAACTACCGCCGCTCCACCACAGCGTTGTCTGGTATGAGTCATAACGACTGGCATTCGTTTCACCTAGAATGTGGCCTCCAAGATGGTCCTCCGGGCTCTGTTATAATCACTGGGGAGAAACAGGCCCTTATAAGGTGCAATTCTGCTCATCCTAAACCAGACCTCTAAAACAGGGCTGCTAACACAGCACCTTTCACACCTGTTTTTCTCTGTTGATTATCCAGGCAGTCTGGCTCAGGTGCAGGCATCTGTGCAATAGATGTCTACAGCGTTGCAAGATGAATTCCCCCTCAAAGTCCTAAGTCCTGCTGACACAGTTTTTTCACTCTCATTTGGTAGGATATAGTCACTTAAATAGCTTCCATTGATGTGGGCCCTCAGGCTTGGCTTCCACCTGCATGAGATGGGGTACACAGCCCTCCTCTACCTCACAGGAAGTTGGGGGAGTAATGAAAGGCTGAGAAGTGTAGAGGTGAGGGACGGTTGGGTCCTACCAGCTGCAATAGCTCTGCCTGCAACCCAGAGGACTTCGATGCTATCATAGATGCTCGGGAAAGAGACTCTATGCTCTCTCCACTTGGCTTTCAGTGATCCGTATTGACCTGGTGCAACGTAGAGTTAGGGGAGACGCCATCAGAGAAGGCAGGTAATTTTACCGGAAGAGAGGCCAGGGAGCTCTTTCTTTTTGTCACTAACACACCTAAGGGCATGAAAGCAAGAGAAAGGTTCTGCAGCCTCATCTGAGAGTGCTATTGGCTCCCTGAGCAGTGAAACTCAAGCTGCTTGAGCACAAAGGTGTCTAGTTTCGACAATCACACGGAAATGTAAGCACCTCTGTCAGCGTGTAGGCTCAGGTTCACGTGACCACACTTCCCCCCACCATTTCCTGCACCTGATGTTTCCTGTTAGGGGGCTCCTGCCTTCGGCGACTTCTCAGAAGCTCCAGATGTAGGGCTATAGGAAGGCATAAGTGAATCTGAACCGAGGTGCTTAAGGACACTGCTGAACCTGGGACCCTATGCACTATAGTGCAATGGTGATGGGCATTTTTGGTGTCTCTTTGTCCAAAACAGCATCCCGGACTGTTAAATTAAGAACCAAGGCACGTCACTCATAGCTAGGTTTAGCTGTAGGCTAGCCTGACTCTGAATCCTGCAAACCTGAGCAATCATGAAGGATGCTTAGATACACCTTTCCAAGCACCTCACTGTGAAGTGAGAGTGGATGTCAGGAGTGAGGATGGAAGAGAAAGGCTTATTCTGCTATTTTCTTCCCAATATAAGACATTGTGGCCCCACCTGCTCCCAGATTCATGCTTGCTTTTGCAATATTGCAGTTAGTATGAAAGGACACCCAAGACCAAGTAGGACGCAGCGTATGTCCTCCCCAGAGAGATCATCTTTATCCATGTCCCAGTTCTGTGGTTGCTGATCTGGCCATCCTGTACCCCAGCCAGGCTGTTCCCTGGGACCAATGTGCTGAGTTGGAGGGGTCTGTCCCCCGCATGAACAGGCAGTGACGCCGACGTGATGCCAAAGCAATCATCTTACCTGACTCAATAATCGGTGATGACCACCCCTCCTTATGGCTGCTGTCGTTGGTACACTGCATGTCAAGGGGGGTCCAGATGATTTTGCCGTTTACCTTCTTGCACGTGCAGGTGCCTGAGGTAGGAGGTTGCTTGTCATAACCCTTCTGACACTTGAAATGTAGTACTTGTCCCACGCTATACGTTTTCTTCAGTCTTAAAGAGGCATGTGGAACACTCTTGGGCGTACCACAATAAGCTGTGAAATCAGAAGGCAGCACGCAGTTAGGCAGATAGCTTTAACTCACTGCTTGCATTTTTGAAACAACAAGTTTTGTATTAGTGCAACGTATAGACAAGCAAGGAATACCAAACTTTCCTAATTCTTTGTGAGGATATAAAGCAGTCATTTGCTTACACCAGATCACTTGTTCAACCAAACAGATATTATAGCAATATTTTCTTTCTTTATGACTACAAAAACAAAACTGGAAAGGTGTGATTTCCCAAAATGCTCAGCATCATTCTTATGCTGCATCCATGGAAATCAGCAGGATAAGCGTAACAATAATAAATGGGCTCCAGCTTACCTGTCCGGTCAAACTCTGGAACGTTTTCTCGTTTCTCGGGTGCATGGCTCTGTGTTTTGTTTTCTGGCTTCTGCCTGAATTCTAACTCCTTGGTGGAAGCCATTGACAACAAAATGTTCTTGTCTGTGAGAGAAGTTTTATTTGCTGAATTACAGCAGAACAAACAGCAAAGCAAAGTCAGAGCACCCAAACTTTTACAGGATAGAACTGCCATGAGTTTTATTACGCAGAGGTAAACACAAAAGTTCATTTGTTATGGCAATGTCCAGATGCATCTTATAATGACTGCATTGGAAAAACACTACTACAAGTGCAGAAAAAGTACAATAATTACTTACCAATGCATTCAAATTCCCCGTAGCGCCAATCAGCAAACTTCTCTGTATTCTCACAGTGAATTCCCAAGTACTGCCCACTTCTTCTCTCATAGCCATCGTCGCATTTGTAATAGAGCTTGCTCCCCAACGGATACGTTTCAGCAACAACATCAGCAAATTCAATTCTCTGAAGAGGTGGGCATTTTTCTGCAAACAAAAAGCCTATGAATCAGGACAGCCTGTGCATCCACCTTATTCGCCGAGGACTTCTCACGTTTTTCTGTCTCATCAGTACCAGTTCATACCCAGAGGTCAGTTAAGTGTCTGAGACCTAAGTCTGCTCCCAACCACAGCTTTGCGATCATAGCAGTCTCATAAATGGTGATGAAGTTATAGACGCAGAAGAAAGAGATTTGAAGAGATTCACTTAAGCTGCCTAAGGGAGTTTAAATTCAGGCCTGGAGGAAAATCATCTGGGAGAAATGCAATTCAACCTGTCAGCCACAGCGAGTTCTGCTTTAAAGAGTTTATATCTGAGAGCTTCATAACATTGAAGTTGGATGAGTCATGATTCCATCTTGCAAGCTTCTCCAAAAAGAGCTCTCAAAGTGCATAGCTTCTAGAGCTAGCTGTTGGGCTAGTGTCAGACTCAAGGTGAGACATGACAGCACTCCTGTAGAAGAAAGAGGCCTTGTGGTGTATCTGTAAGGCATCCAAGTGCAGTGCAAATGCATAGCCATGAGGCAACAACACCATGTGCTCTGAACACCTGGGTCTGTCTGCAACTCTGCCTGGTTGAGATGGAGGAAAATTTGGGGTCAGTCAAGCTAACATGCAGTACAAATCCAGCTGCCTCCTCCTCTTCCTCCTAATAGAGGGTGCTCACACCCTCAGAGGGGCCAATCTGGATGTCACGTGAAGGTAGCAGAGCTTTGCTTCTCTGATTCTCTCTAAGCCAAGGAGATGCTTTGAGTGCTTGGTGAAACTATTGGTTATTTTAAGCCTACATTTTTTTATTTTAATTTTAGAGCAAACTCTCCCTCCAAAGCCTTCTTAACATCAGAGTTAGCGCTTCCCATCATTGATTTTGTGAGTATAAGTTTGTGCAAGAGGAAAAGAAAATACTGGGGAAAAGTCCAAGCCTTGGGAGTTTCTGCACTGAATGAAGTGGGATCTGCATTTGTCTATAGCTGTTTAGTTAAGAGGGGATAATTCCACTCGCTCTTGTTTCTTCTAGAGGAGAAAGGATGCTGCAGCATGGAGATGCGGCAGCAGCTGGGCACGGTGGTTGGAGGCACCAAGGTGTATTTGCCTGCTCCTGCCCCGGCTGTCTTGAGGTGGTTGTTGAGCCCTCTCTTTCTGCACCCAGCAGCTGGGCAACATGCAACACTACCAACATTTTCTTAATGAAGCTATACAATATCATATTGTAAAGACTCTGCATCAGAGTGTACAGCCCTGATTCTATGGAGTGAAACATAGTAAGGAAAACTAGGTCATTAAAAGTTGCACTCTTCCGTAAGCAAACACTGACAAGATGAGTCGATTCGCAGTTCAGTCTCAGCACGCCAAAGAGGAGCTTACTGTGAAACAAGTTTGCAAACCTAAATATAACTTGTCCCAAAACAAGGTCGTTAAGCGTTGTGCCATCAGCAAATCACATCTAAATATACTTCTTAATCAGTTGGAATGAATTAAGTTAGCTGATTTCAGTGCACTCGAAGAGCCAGCAGAAGCTAAGCTGGAGACACAGAAGTTGATGAAAGCACTATTTAATGATTATGTAAGGCCTAAAGGCTGAGGAATTCAAAGAGAAAACATTCTGGTTGCATCAGGACTGACATTCAGGAGCTTTGGGTGCATGATCCATGGCCCTTAATGCTTATGCATCATAGTCACAGCTATTATGAATAACATTTCTTAGTGCTTGTGTCTTCACATTTTCTGTAACCATAATTAATGCAGCCTTGGCAACCATCAGGAATGACTGTGAAAGGCCCTTGAATTCCTGAGAGCTGTTCATCTTGTGGCATCTGCCCTTGACTCCCAAGCTGCCTTCTCTCTGAAACAAAGCCATGCCTTGCTGCCAGCAACGCAATCAGTGATTTCCAGACGCAGTGCAGCAATGCCCTTTTCTTTCAGAGCCACCCATCATTTTCTTGCTTTGATATTTTCTGCCCTTTTTCCTTTTTATTATCTTGCCACTTAGTAAAAGCCATAGAGTTCAAAGAGGGCACCAACGAAAAGTATTGTGAGCTGCTCAACAGTTAAGCTGCTTAAGGACCATTTCGATCCCCTTGTATCTTTGTGTTATCAAAGGATTCGCCTCTTAAACTATATCAGACTGTGGCTTTGACAGAAGCTACTGTACCCGAAATAGTTAACCACATGGTTTACCACAGACTGTCAGGGTGATTAAAATTAAAGAGTTATCAGATTAGCAGCAGGCTGTGAGCACGTACTCTCACTTTCCCTAAGCTAAAGCTAAAAAAAAAGCTAAAGCTATGTTTCCCTCAAGACTTCAAAAGCTTCTTTGAAGCAGACTGCAGATCTGAATCTCAGCAAGAGGCATTCAAACCTATAACTCTTTACTCTCTTCTTAAGAAAACCCACAGCATTTAGCCTACTCATCATAAAGGGCAACTGTTGTTTTAATCAATGATCAAATGAAGTTAGGGTTCTTCTGAACTTACACATGTCAGATAAGGAATGCAGAGAAACAATGTACATGGGTGATTGTGAACAATACCAGACTTCCACACCAGTCAAACTAGTATTCTGCCTTGATTCACGCTGCAGGCGGATCTCGTGCAAAACTCCTGGATCTAGCTTTCCACATCACTCAAAGTCTTGTCTTCTCACAAGTAAACCACAGCAATAGCTTCTTCTTTGGCCTTCACAATCACATTCCTGACCGATCCGGGAACCATCTGGAAAGATGAATTTCCTAGGCTTTATCATGACCATCATGTCCTTCTGTTTGCTTCCCTGTTTTAGCTTCTACCGCTTCACTGCTGCATCAAACGTTTTGTTCTCATTTTCAAGGACTTTCTCAACTTATCGACTCTCATATCTTCTCAAAACACTGGCTTCTCTTCGGATGCTCGACTTCATCACCCACACATTTGGTATTGGAGTCATCAGCTTTTGGGCTTACTGGCATGGTGCCCCTCACACTAAGAGGAGCCTTGAATGAATATTGGCATTTCAAGATATCCAGTGTCATTATGCCTCTTAACTGTCTTTAAGTAGCTTATATATATTCAAAGGTGTCTCTCTTAAAGTGGTCTTTTACCCACCTTTCAAGAATGAGTAGGTGCCCAACATGCTGATCCACACTACTTGTCATAAGACTTTCTTGTCTTATGTTTGGATCCTATGTTTCTGTAGGGCCCCCCAGCCCTACTGAGGCTTTGTTTGCCTCCTTGTTTTCCTTCCCCACATCCCTTAATTCTCCATCCCCATGACAAGGTGCTGTATATCCTTCTCTTTCGATCCTGACGTCCCCTGTCCTCCCTTTGCCTCATTCACAAGCTTCATCAGCCCCCGTTTCCCATTCTCATGCCCTTCCCACCAAAAGTGCCCTGGGAATCCATTCCTGTTTCCTTGCAAGTACTACCTTGTTGTGCTGAAATGGGCTAAGCAGAGAGGTTGGTGCAATTACATTCAAGTGGTTTAGCATTACTACCAGCTGGTTGCAGAACTGCTAGCATCTGTAGCTTTTCTAACAAAGACTCCCGGGATTCTTCCTTTTGATATTCTCATTTCTCCCTTTATCAGTGGATTTCGGTCCCTAGAGCATTCCCAGAACTTTCGGAATTGTTTTTCAAATATTATCATATAGTGGATGGAGACATACCCTTGAAATTAGGAGGAGACTTGTAAACTCAGACAATCAACATCTGTGAAACATATAACATAAAAGTGTCACAGAATCACAGAATCACAGAACAGCCAAGGTTGGATGGGACCTCTGGAGATCATCTAGTCCAACCTCCCTGCTCACGCAGGGTCCTCTAGAGCACATTGCACAGGATCGCGTCCAGACGGGTTTTGAATATCTCCAGGGAAGGAGACTCCACCGCCTCTCTGGGC